TATATATATATATATATATTTAGCTTGGTGCATCTGTCTTCATCATCTCTAATGGCTCCAGCCCCTCTGTCCAGGTGTCCGCTCCTCGATCTTTGTGTCCAAACTTGCTATACTCAGACTCATGAAACATCATGAAACCCCCCCTAAACCCCGCACCCTAGAAGCCAAGCGCCTTCTAATTGGAACGCCTAGACACCTAGACTTCCAAGAACAGCGACACCCCAAAAGCCCGCCCAGTCCGAGATATGGAAAACTCTTGGGCCGCGTGGCCGAAACATGGCCAAAGAAGACACCCAGGCCTCGCCGATAAAGAAACTGGTGTTAAAATGCCAGGATCTAATTGGGTTTTCGGCTTGAAGCTTGTGACATTTGTGAGGACTAGAACCTGCAGGCTTCCCAGCTACATGAAATCAAGAAGCGATTGGCCTGCAGATCCACACCTCGAGCCCTAAGCTCCCAGAGATGTCTTCAGCGGATCGCCGGAATTTCTTCCCAATTCTGAATACTTGCAGGGAACCAGCACGTAAGACAAGCAGGAGGACACTAGAACAAGCACACGAGGGTTGCCATATTCGTTCTGCGGCTCTAAGATGCTCTAAGGCCTAGTGCTTTTCACTGGTCCTCTCCGGGAGAAAATCTAAAACCCCTTAGTCCCAGGCCTTACAGCCCTAACCTCCCTTGACCCTACCCAACTTCTACGCCTGAGCCCGCGATGCAGCGCTCGAAGAGCTGCTTCCAGTGAAAAGGTCCGGCTGGAGGTGGTAGCCTTCGCTTCTATGCAGGGGTTTAAAAGGGACTTCGCGGATTTAGGGCTTGAGCTAATGGAATAGCCTGCCGAGGGCTTCAGGGCTTCTAAGCTCTGGAGTGGGATGCAAATACGTAGCACTCTGGGCCTAGGACGAGTGCAGCAGCGCATGGAAGCTGACCACGAGACTGATGCGTACGCCTTCTGCTTTCGCCCACATCATCGTCGTCATCACCATCATCCTATCACCATATTATTATTCTTCTTCCTCCTCCTCCTTCATCATCGTCATCGTCATCGTCATCGTCATCTTGATCGTGATCGTCATCGTCATCGTCGTCATCATCATCATCATCATCATCATGATCATCATCATCATCATCATCACCATCATCACCATCATCACCACCTCATCATCACGTCATCATCATCATCATTCTAATCCTCATGCCCATCCGCATAGTCATCATCCCCCTTATCCTTATCCTCATCCTCATCGTCATCATCCTCCTCATCCTCATCCTCATCCTGGTGCTCCTCCTCCTCCTCCTCCTCCTCCTCCTCAACAACATCATCATCATCGTCAGCATCATCATCTTCTTCCTCCTCCCCCATCCTGGTCCTCCTCCTCCTCCTCCTCATCATCATAATCATCATCTTCAACAACAACATCATCATCATCATCATCATCATCATGAACACCATCCTGATCACCACCCTCACCATCACCACTATCATCACCGCCAGCATGAGTACACAGTACACCTCTTTGATTGCTGTTGGTTTCTCTTGCAGCACATGTAAATCTTACCCTCAGTCCGCACAATGCTTGGCATTCGATGTTTCGTCACATTCCAGAATTTCCAGGGCTTTGATTACCACTTGACGGCATGAAGGCGAGCACCCGAAAGTCACAGCCAATCGTGGTTGTTATGATTGCGAGAGCTATGAATCTGAAGTTCATGATTCGCAACACTGACGGCACAGAGTATCTCAGTTAAGCCGTTCATGACCATGACGGCGGAGACCGTGTCACTTCCTGCTACATTCGCGCATGCCCCAAGGTTGACATGCCAACGCCGTCCTACACCCAAAAACCCTCACTGGAAAAAACCCTCGGGTATCCATAAAGCTCCTGCAGGCTCGTGGCTCTGCATGCGGTGCAGAACTTCCGAGGCGCGGCGCCACTCCCCCGCTTTGTCAAAAGCATCTGCCAAAGAGTTGAAGGAGACTTCGTCTAGGTGCTGGCTCGTCCGCGCAGTAGCCAGGAGCTGCTCGCCCAATTGCCAGCTGCTACATCGTGCACAGCAGCCAACTGCAGAATTGAATGAGACCATGTCCGCTTGAATTTGCAAAGCAGGGAGATGGGATACCAGGAGCAGCGCGGAATCCTCTGCATCCTCGCAGGTGGCCAAGGCAGCATTACCCATAAAGACGTCTGCCTCGACCCGTCGGCTCGGAAGATCGGCGAGAAGGTCCAAGGCACTTTTCCAGCGGCCACGAAAGCTGAAGATCAGATTCGCTGCAGACGTCGCAGAGGCGGCAAGGTGTCGATCTCGCCGCTCCTCCTCGATGAGCGAACTCTGCTCCCAGAGGTTCGACCTCGCCACGGCTCCCAGGGCGGCGCTAAAGCACGGGGTGTCGGCTTCAATCGACAGCGTGCCGATGCGCCAGAAGAGCCGAAGCGCACCAACCCAGATACTTTTTCGGTCGCAGGCAGTAATCGCAGCGCTGCATGCAAAGGCATCTACCTGCAGGAGCGCAATGGCTGCACTCTGCAACGAAACCAATGCCTTCCTCCAGCGGGAGGCCCGAGCGACAGCTGACAAAGATTTGGTGAACTCCAGAAGGGCCTGAGCTGGTCTTGGAAGTCGCTGCAAGGCATGACTGCGGTTGTCGTGTACCACATGACCCCTGATACGAGGCAAAGTGAAACTCTTTTGAAGATAGGCCTAGGCGCCGGATCCTTCTTAACGCCCCCAGTCGGGCGGGCGACAGCGGCAAGCACCATGGCGCGCCCATGGCCTCCGAGTGGACTCGCCAGGCCATGGGCCGGCGCAAGGGTCCGCTGCAGTCCCAGGATCGGCCGGTTCAGGGTCCAAGTGCCCAACAGGGAAGAGTGCCCTTGGCTTGTGGAAGGCTCACACGAGCTTCTGTGCACACCCGTACGTGTATGTGTGTGTGTGCGCGTGTGTCTGTTTGTCTCTCTGTGTGTGTATGTACGTATGTATGTCTTCTTTTTCTGTGTGTGAAAGTTTTCCGGGGGCAGGCTTCTCTGGGTCTCTGGATGCTTGGACACTTCTTGGTCTAGTCAGCGGGCTGAGGGGCGGCCATGCGGAGCAGCGCGAGAGGATCGCAGGTGGCTGTTGGACTGTGAAATGGAGGAAGACAGAAGCCTAGCTAGCCGACAACGAAGGAGTAGCGAGCTGTCCCCAACAGGTTGTCCTTGCAACCGTCGTGAACAATGACCATGAAGCTTTGCTGACAAGATCGCTAATCCTAGCGTCACCTTCTGACTGCGTGTCGTGCCATGGACGGTCACCTGTACTTAGAAAGAACCACACATCTACGGCCAAGAATAGACTAGGTATGAAAGCCACATACGAAAACATGCGACCAACATGTGGTGAACACACGGGTAGGTACGGGTAAGTATGCATTCAAAGTACTGCAAAACACGCAGGCAATCGCATTTCCTAGACGCTGCTGCCTAACTTTGGCTCGTCTCGCCTCCTGTGCTCCTGAAGAACGCAAACAGCGTCGCAAGCATAAGTGCTAAATTGCTGCAGGGCTGGGGCTTAGAGTTGAAGGGGTGCTGTATAGTTGAAAAGCCAAAACCCTGAGAACCCCTCACCTTCTTGCAAGCGGATGCCCAGTCCTGAAAGCTACACGGCAAATGGAGACTGAGACTATTCACGTATTGCGTTTTCGCAGAGCTCCCCTTTGCATGCGACAGTCTTGGGAAATGCCCAACAAACAGAAGCAGAATGCTTCCGAAAGGTCTGGAACACAATTTTGGAAACGCTGGTGTAGGGAATTCATGCATTCTACATCGTGGCCTATGCAGTGCCAAACTGCCGCGAAAATGGTGCTTAAGTCCTGGGAAATGCCCAACAAAAAGAAGCAGAATGCTTCCGAAAGGTCTGGAACACAATTTTGGGATTTCTGAATTTAGGACTTCGAGCGTTTTAATCGTGGCCTATGCAGTGCCAAACTGCCGCGAAAATGGTGCAAAAGTCCTGGGAAATACAAAAAGAAGCAGCGTCTGGGGGAGGAACTACCAAAGGGGGTTTAGGGAGGATCAATAAGGGAGGGTTTAGGGGAGGATCCGCAGACGGGGTTTAGGGGACGAGAATTCAAAAGGAACCCTTCAGCAACACCCGAAACACCAAACTGCAAGCACTTAAAGAAATTTCCTCGGGTGTGCAGCACCAGGATGTGGCGGCGACTCCCACCTGGGAGAGAAGAGACGAAACAACTCTGCTATGTAAAAGCATGGTTCATCACATTAACGATAGACTTTCGCCGAAGCGGAGGAATAGCATTTGCAATAGAACTACTTCAATGCCAATGGCTAGGCAAAAGACCGTCACGACCAGCAGAAGATGTTTTCAGGTGCCTGAGCCCGACCTCCCAAACCAGGACTCATTGCATCGACTAGTTGACGACGGCCTCAAAACAGGGTGGATTGAATCCGGAAAGAGTGGCTCGTCCGGTATCGGCACAGCAAGATCTGTTTTTGTTTCTGCTTGTTTGGCGTTGGTGTTTTGAGCCTTCTGGTGTTATGGCGTAGGAGCTTTGGGCTCGGGCTTTAGGATGTCAGAGGGGAAAGCATGCAAGGACCGTCTCTTCTGTGATACCTGAGCCGGAGCGCATCATGTTGCTTGGTCACAGGCCGAAACACCGATTCCTAAACGTCGCCTTCTCTACCCGAAGCCGGCATGGAGTCGCACGAACACAGAACTAGGATAAGTTGTGGGACATTATAGTCATGTTCCCCAACTTTCTTGCCTCTTTTGCCCATTAACTCTGTGCAACAACGCCTTTCTTGCGGGAAGCCAAGGCCGCTGCCACGGAGAGGGTTGCTATCCGCACGCCTGGATCGGTGTCTTTGACGCAGGCCTCGTGGGCTGGGCTTCGAGTCGGGGGCTCCGACTCTGATCCAAAGTTGCAACGACTGGTTGGTGGTACCAAGCCAGACAAGACCGACGTGATGACACTGCCGCTGCTACTGCTCCTTCTGCTGCTACTCCTACTAGTACGGGAACCCGGCGGCAAGAGTGTTGCCGATCTCCCGGTAATGCCCGTGTAGGCGCCCTCCCATAGAGCGGACCTTCCACGCTGTCTCGCTAACATAGCTACTGGTGTGTACGTGGAAACAGGATTGAAACGGGTTACGTACGTCTTTTCTAACTAGGCCGTTCCGGATAGTACCAGGCAAGATCTTCACGACTTGCCGCGAAGCCTCATCGAACTTCTGGACGGCTCTCATGTTCATGGGGTCTGACAGGTTTCGGCGTGAGGCTTGCGATGACGGACGGGCGCCTTGTCTTGTAAGTCCATCAAACCTCTTGGGATCTCGTATACGTTTCAAACACAACAGGAAAAATACAAGTCTGAGTGCGACATGAAAACAGGAGTTCATCAAGCAGGGGCGCGTGGGGGGCGCCAAGGTGCCGACAATTGAACTTTTTGGACAAGAAAGAAATGAAGTACATTGCAAGTAGCGGTGCCCGGAGGGAACAAGCGGCCGACACGTGCAAGGAAAAGTAGTTCAAGCAGGAGTTAAAGTAGGAGTTCAAGCACAAGTCCAGAAGGGGCGCCAAGGGGCGACACCTGCATTTTTTTGACTAGGGTTGTTCTACTTTGTTATCGTACTGGAACATGTACTTGTATCTCCTGGTATCTCCTGGTTGCACCTGAACTCGTACTTGTGTTTGATTGTATATGTTGTCCTGTTAGCTACGTAATGTTCTGGGGAAATACACGAAGTAAGCAGGGCTGACATCTTAGTGGTAGGCTTAGTGGCGTACTTTTGCTTTCCTTTTGAAAAAACTGGCTGCGTTGGGAACAATAAACTTGCATACACTTGGAAATAATTTTCCCACACTGTTCGGAGTCTGTGCAGGCTTGGGGCATGGGGGTTCTCGGTTGAAGATTTCAGCGTCGGCCAACCTATGGCAAAAGTTCAGCTTTGCGGCCAGAACCCTGACACAGCCGGATTCCGGGAGGGTGTGGAGTGTTGGGTGCCGAATAAAGTTTGATTCGGAGGTACATTCTTGACATGAATGCAAGCGACCCCGCCCCCAAACTGCAGAACAATCTTCTGAAGGCATGTGGGCGACGTGTTTTTCGAGAAGCCAGCTCCCTTGCATAATCCTCGTCATCGTCATCGTCATCGTCATCATCATCATCATCGTCTTCTTCTTCATCAGCATCATCATCACCACCACCATCATCATCGTCATCGCCATCAGTCACCATGATCATCACCATCACCACCGCCACGACCACCGTCTGCATCAGAGGGAGCTTCATCATCGTCATCACCATGATCACGAAACATGAGCCGCTCATCAGCCAACTCGCAACAACTCACAGCTACAAGCAGCCCATCCATTCCTGCACCCAGAAACACATACCCAACTTATATATATATATAGTTATATATATATATATATATATCGATATATATATATATATATATGACTAGACTTGCACACCAGCCTGTCTCCTTTCGTTTCCCGGTTGACCCAAACTACCCCACCTAATGTCCTATGCGTAAAGTCCCAAATCCTGGCTCCTGAACACCCAAGCCAAACTTTTCCCCTGGACCCAACTAAGCAATACGAAGTCCAACACAGCCTCTCAACGACTCAAACTCCTGACTTAAAGCAGCCCTGAGCACTACGTCTTGAACAGCCCTGAGCCGTGGACACGTTCGTTTTCTGGGGTTTGTCTGCTTTTAGAATACCCTCCCTCTCCCGGCACCAGCGAAGCGAGGAGCTCCAGGGCTGCCCGGCGGCGAACCGGCGAATCATCGGCTGCAGAGAGATGGTCAAGGTGGGTCAGGCGGTCCAGGCGTTTCAGGGGGGCTTGAGTTCAAAGCTCCGGGCGTGTCTGCAGAAATACATAGAGAAACTCGGGCCTGCAGTTTGACGCTTTCTGTATACATATATATATATATATACACATACACACATACATCAAAGTATGAAGGGGTGTTCATGGGCACTGGGTATGAAGCGGGCATAATTAGGCCTGAAGCTGCATAGGCACTAAGGCTCTGGGCTTCTGGGATGCATTTTCAAGGATCTGGGGCTCCGAGTAATACATGGATTTGTGTTTAGGGCTTTTTTGATCTGCAGAGTTCGGAATCTTGACATCATCGAGCGCAGCTGTGGATTTGAATACATCGGCCGTTGTCGTGTTTTGGATGGGACTGCGCTTTGACATGGGCTGATCTTCCGTTGTATACCTGAATCCTCAATTGAAGATCTTCTTGTGAATCCTTGCTTCCTTGGTCTGGGAGATGAGCTGGAACGTCTAGGAAGCCTTGGTCACTCGAGTAGTATGCACAAATCGTGTGAAGGATCCGTTTCAAAACAGCACGGATACACGATTGAAGCCTTATAACCCCTAAGTCCTAAAGCCTAAAGTCCGCATTGCCTTGACCTCTGAGATCCAGGCAGAGCAAGCGCCCGATGACACTCAGCAAATCCTAGCGCACACAGCCATCCGATTCCGGTGAGATTTGTCTGGAAAGACCTAGCCAGCTCCGAAACCGTAGACTCTAAGCTCAAGTTCAACCTTAAACTCTGAACCTTGGTGGCGCAGGGGCTGGGGGATCGCAGTGCGCAGTGTTTCGTTTGCTAACGTGGCGCAGAGCTCTCTTCAGAATGAGCATGAACCCCCAAATCTTCGAAACCCTCCAGACCAAAATCAACGGCATCACACCTGAACACCATAGATAATTCCGGAAGCCGTTGAGTTGTGATCCTCACGACTCTT